AGTGGGAGCACTAAAAGAATCAGGAACAAGTCTAAACAACAAAACTACAGTACCTTTAGTATAACCTGTAGAATAATTCGGAAGAAGACGTCTTTCACGTATACATAGCACGCCGACAAATGAACGAGGCTAAACAAAGCGCGGGAACACGGCAAAGTTTAGGTTGCTCGGGCAACGGCAGCCACACTCCCACCCAAATCATCCAAGATGATTTCTAAAAAGAGGAGGTATTCGGAATAAACAAATATCGCCTTATCAATGTAAAACATGTGAACGATCAAGGTCAACTACTATGTCTACTCAGTAGAAGAAGTAACATCATTTCAATCCTTCATGACAGAAAATGAGAAGAATCAGCTTATGAATTGGACGGTCTAAAAATGTTCTATTGTAAATTGGCTTACCTGTTTTATCTAAGTCTGAGGTGGCCATTAGTAGCTTTACCTTTCTCACAAGACCATCACTAGAGGGATAGGTCTCTGCCACTTTAGCTAATCTCCAATCAGAGCGAAAGACGTTCTCGTCCTTTAGCATAACTATATCACCAACTCTGAAATTTCTTTGGTACCTTGCCAGGTTTTTCTCGACTGAAGATTGTACAAATATTCTTTTTCCCACCTTGTCCAGAACAGATTAGCCAGATATTGGACTCTGCGCCACCTCTTTCTCGCATATATATCTTCCCTCAACGAAATCTCCAGGAGGTGGAGGGGTGACAATTCCAGACTTCATTGTGAGGATATTGTTTGGCGATAGAGGAAGGGGCTCGTTAGAGTCTTCCAAATCATCCACAGTCAGTGGTCTGCTGTTGATTATGGCCATTGTCTCGTACAGGAATGTACGCAAAGCTGATGTGTTCAGCTGGGTTCCATTCTGGATCAGGATTCCATCTAAGACACTTCTGATAGTCCGGATCTGCCTCTCCCATACTCCGCCCATGTGGCTTGATGAAGGAGTGTTAAATAAGAACTCACAATTTTGGGAGAGAAGTTTTCTTGCGATACTATCAATGTATAACTTGTTAAGATTCTCCTTCATTTCATGACTCGCACCAACAAAGTTGGTTCCCTGGTCACAGCGAATCATGAGTACATTTCCTCGAATGGCAATAAGGCATCTCAATGCATTGATGAACGAATCTGTAGACATATCATCTAAGACCTCAATATGAACAGCTCTTGATGCGAGGCATGTGAAGATTAACCCATACCTCTTCAGCTCCTTTCGTCCTTCTTTGATCATAAACGGCCCAAAACAGTCCAGTCCACAGTGGGTAAATGGTGGAGAGGGTTCTGTCCTGTCTTCTGGGAGGTTTGCCATTTTTTGTGACACTCTTCTTCCTCTCAGTTTTTTGCACGTAACGCAGTTTTGGATCAGGGACGAAACTGTTGAACGACACCCAACAATCCAGTATCCATGATTCCGAATCTCGTTGATAGTCATGCCTCGACCTTGATGACCTATGCGGTCATGATAATGACTTGCAACCAAAGTTGAGAAATGGTTTCCCTTTGGCAACAAAATTGAACATTCAACAATGACTGCCACTGCTGTCACTGCCTTTAAATAGCTAGAAAATCTGCTCATCCTCTCCGTGAAGCTAGTGAACTTCATTCTCTGTACAATATGTACAACTGTCGGTTTAACCTCTACATCATCTGCTGGGATTTCCAAGTCAATGTCTGCAGTCTGAGGTGAAGCCTCTGTTTCCCACAAAAACTTAGGGCCTGTAAGCCAGTTGGATTTGGCGATTTCATCAGCTGTTAGACCACGTGTGGCATGATCTGCAGGGTTATCAGTGGTTGGAACATATTTCCACTGTGCTGGCTGGGAAACTTCTCTAATTCGTTGAACCCTGTTCGCGACGAACATCTTGAGTCTCTTCATATCATTCTTTATATATCCCAAGACTACCTTGGAATCCGTCCAAAAATGATGTGACATGTCTTTATAGCCCATTTCTGTCTCGAGAACCCTAGAAACCTTTGCTGAAATTGTTGCAGCTTGTAGTTCCAGTCCAGGTATAGTTACAGGCTTGAATGGGGCAACTCTTGCCTTCGCCATGACTAAGGCACAGTGTACCCTTTCATCTGTGGTCTTCAGACGCACATATGAACATTGTCCATAACCAGAAAATGATGCGTCAGAAAAGTGGTGAAGTTGTACTGAGACTGCTTGACCCAAACCATCTGGAATGAAGCATCACGGAACTTTGATCTCACTCAGTTTCAACAGCTCGGCTTTCCAACGTTCCCAATCTGGACGAAGATCATCTGGCAATGGGTCATCCCAATCTACTTTATCCTGGCACATTCTTTGGAGTATCATCTTCCCAACTAAGACTAAAGGCGAAATAAGACCTAAGGGGTCGTAAATTGAGGCAACTGTTGCTAGAATCCCACGCCGAGTTAAGGGGTGATCCTTTAATGTCAGCTTAAAACAAAAGGTATCTGATTCGATGCACCACTGTATACCTAAAACCTTTTCTGGCGAAAAACTCTTCTGACTGGGTTCAAGGTCAGTCTGTGTTATAGTTGCTCTTTCGGACAGAATTATTACAACTAATTTTGAGTAGCCGCAAGTTACCCTTTTCACAGATCTCAACAGCATTGTGAATGAGATCCTTCATAGCTTCTACACTTTGTTCCGACTTCAACCCATCATCAACATAGAAGTTGTTTTTCAAGAATTCTGAAGCATTCTCTCCAAGGTGCTTGTAGTCCTTGGCAAGTTGTTTTAAGCCGAAGTTCGCACATGCTGGCGATGAAACAGCTCCAAACAAATGGACTTTCATCCTAAAGTCAACTGGGGGTTGTGTGAAGTCTTCGTCTTCCCACCACATAAACCTGAGAAAGTCTTGGTGTTCAGGCTTCACACGAAACTGATGGAACATTTTCTCGACATCACACGTCAAGGCAATTGGGTGTTCCCGGAACCTGCAGAGTACTCCAATTAAGGGGTTGATCAAGTCTGGACCTGACAAAAGGTGGTCATTCAAGCTTGAACCCTGGTAACGAGCGCTACAATCGAAGACAACTCTTACCTTATTCGGTTTTCTGG